CTCCCTGCACACAGAAAATCACTTCCCAGCATTTCCAAGCCACTCCAGTGGGGTTTCTCCTGTCCCAGCTGCTCCAGCAAAACCCCTCGGTGCATTTTTGGGGTCGAGGGAGCCAGAACTCCTCCCGGGGCTGGAATTGTGGGAGGGGGAATCCATGGAATCTCACGTGGAATCTCAGCTTCTGTCCGGTGTTTGTCCCGCAGCAAATCACGGACGACGGGCTGATCACCATCTGCAGGGGCTGCCACAAGCTGCAGTCCCTGTGTGCCTCCGGCTGCTCCAACATCACCGACGCCATCCTCAACGCCCTGGGGCAGAACTGCCCTCGCCTCAGGTGAGGATTCCTCGGAATTCCCTGGAATTCCCACCTCCACGTGGAGCAGGGGGTGCTGGGGACGCGCTCGGGTACCACCGGGGTGATTTCAGCCTTCCTAGAAGGGCAGTTTTTATCCCTGAGCTTCATGCAGATGTTTTTTGTAATGGGATGAGGAGAGGAAAAGCCAGATTCATGGTTAAAAGCTGGTTACAAATCTGGTTAAAACCAAGATTCCTGGTTAAAACATGGTTAAAACCAAGATTCCTGGTTAAAACCTGGTTAAAAGTCAGATTAGTTTTCAGCTTCTGAAGGTCTTCGTGGAAGGGCAATTTTTATCCCTGAGCTTCATCCAGGTGGTTTTTTTTAATGGGATGAGCAGAGGAAAAACCAGATTCATGGTTAAAAGCTGGTTAAAAAACAGATTCCTGGTTAAAAGCTGGTTAAAAATCAGATTAGTTTTCAGCCTCTGAAGGTCTTTGTGGAAGGGCAGTTTTTTATCCCTGAGCTTCATCCAGGTGTGTTTTTTTAATGGGATGAGCAGAGGAAAAACCAGATTCCTGGTTAAAAGCTGGTTAAAAATCTGGTTAAAAACCAGATTCCTGGTTAAAACCTGGTTAAAAACCAGATTAGTTTTCAGCCTCTGAAGGTCTTCCTGGAAGGACGTTTTTTATCCTGGAGCATCATCCACGTGTGTTTTTTTATGGGATGAGCAGAGGAAAAACCAGATTCCTGGTTAAAACCTGGTTTAAAATCTGGTTGAAAACAAGATTCCTGGTTAAAAATCAGATTCGTTTTCAGCCTCTGAAGGTCTTCCTGGAAGGGCAGGTTTTATCCCAGAGCTTCATCCAGGTGTTTTTTTTCATGGGATGAGCAGAGGAAAAACCAGATTCCTGATTAAAACCTGGTTAAAAACCAGATTCCTGGTTAAAACCTGGTTTAAAATCTGGTTAAAAAAAACAGATTCCTGGTTAAAACCTGGTTAAAAATCAGATTCCTGGTTTTTAAACTCATCTCCTCTCCAGACATTCCAACCCCACCAGTGTCCCCCAGCCTGGGTGGGGGGGCTGAGGTTCTCCTGGGATTCTCCTGGGATTCTCCTGGGATTCTCCTGGGATTCTCCTGGGATTCTGGGACCCTTTCCATGGCTCCTGTTGCCTCTTTCCCTACAGAATATTGGAGGTGGCGAGGTGTTCCCAGCTGACCGACGTGGGCTTCACCACCCTGGCCAGGGTAAGGGCTCCTTCCCTCCTTCCCTCTTCCTTTCTTTCTGGGATAAATAACAAAAAAAAAACCAAAAACCAACCAACTAAACAAAAAAAATCCAGTAGACTTTGGGAAAACTTCTTCTCTCGGTGTTTGGGTGGAATCTGAGTTACAAAAATTAGGGTTCGTGGTGTCTTTAAGTTACAAAAATTAAGGTTTGTGGAAGCTAAGTTACCAAAAAATAGGGTTTGTGGAGTCTAAATTGCAAAAATTGGGGTTTGTGGGCTCTCAAGTTACAAAAATAAGATTTATGGAATCTGGGTTATAAAAGGGTTTATGGGATCTCTGGCATGGACCCACAGATCTGGGAGGGGTTACATCCAAACCACACGAAATGTTAAATACTTGGGAGTTACAGACTTTGCTGCTTGGTTTTTGAGGTTCATCTCAAAATGACCCTAAATTTAATTATCTTAATTACCATTAAAACCCTCTGTGCCTTTTAATGAGCGAAATTTCCTTCACTATCCTTGGTGCTGTTCTTATAGAAGCAGCAAAATTTCCTTCCAATTGTGATATTCCATGGAGAAAATCCTCTAATTTTTAAAGAAAACTGTCTTGATGGTGGTTATATTTATATTTATATTTATATTTATATTTACATTTACATTTATATTTATACTTATATTTATATTTATATTTATTGTCTGAGCTTCACACTGAGTTTGGGTGTTTGGTTTTCTCTTTGTTCCCAGAACTGCCATGAGCTTGAAAAAATGGACCTGGAGGAGTGTGTCCAGGTAGGAAATGTTTCCCTTTTGGCACAGCGTGGAAAGCTGGTGAAAAATTCATAGATTGTCTCCCAATTAGAACCTAATTTAGAATCCTGAGCAGGAAGATTGGCTGGATTTAGAGAAGAAAATTTGGGTTTTATCCTTGGTTTGTGTTTCATTTTAATGCTGCTGCTGTAAATGATAAATATTGGGAATGGATGTCAGGTCACGTCATGGATGTGTGAGGTGTGATGGAATCCCAGGGAATGATCTTTACCACCCATATGTTGCTAAAAATGATGGGATTTTCCTCTGGCAGATTGTTGGGACAGTGGTTGCGGAGGGTTGGAATCAAACTGAGCTGCAGCATTTACAGGGAAAAGGGTTGGATTGACTCGAGATCCCATGGAAAAACCTCCAGCCCTGAGGGTAGACTGGAAGTGGATCCAGCCCAAGGAGGGAACGGGGTTGTGGTTCCTCCCTGGGAACAGCCTGGCCTGGGGTTCTGCCTTCCTGGTGTTCCCAGGGCACAAATCCAGGAACTCCCCAGGAGGAAATGACACCCGTCCAGACGGGAAGGGACGGAAAAGGATCCCAAAAAAAGGAACGAGGGAAGTGAGGCTGAGCCTTGGCCCGACACAAACCCATCCCAGGCAGCTCCCTGGGGGGCCTTGGGGTTAGAAACCATTGTGTGAGTCTCCTTCTTCCTGCAGAAAACCAGGAACAATCCATGGGCTTGTGGGAGGGATCCTGAGCCCTCCTGAACACCCGGGAGCTCCTTTGCCTCTCAGAATTGTGAGCTGATCTCAGCTCCTTGGGGAAGTTCAAAACAACCCAGTGGTGCCTCTGCCTGCAAAGGGCAGGAGCTGATTCCATGAGGAGATGAGTTCCTGAGGGCTTCAGGAGAAGTGGCTGTGGGGAAAACTCAGGGATTTGGGAAAATTCCGCCTTTTTTTTATTCATAGAGAGGAAAAATTAAGTCCTTGTGCACAACACCCAAAGTTAAGGGGCCCTTTCCTCTTCTCTTCCAGATAACAGACAGCACCCTAATCCAGCTTTCCATACACTGTCCACGGCTCCAGGTCCTGGTGAGTATTCCAAGGGAGACTTCCAGCACTTGGAACAGAGGGATCTTGAACCCTCTCTGACTTCACGGTTGTGTTGCAACCACTGGGAAGATTCTGCTGGAAACCCGACCCTGAAGAACCTCTTGTCCCTCCCCTGCTGCTCCCACTGATCCCACAGAAGGGCTGTGGGGTTCTCCTGTGAGCAGAATTCCAGCACTTGGAACAGAGGGATCTTGAACCCTCTCTGACTTCACAGTCATGTTGCAACTGCTGGGAAGATTCTGCTGGAAACCCGACCCTGAGGAACCTCTTGTCCCTCCCCTGCTGTTCCCATTGATCCCACAGAAGGCCTGTGGGGCATGGGGTTCTCCTGTGAGCAGAATTCCCGGTGGAATCTGCTGAATCTCCCCCCAAAAACCACACCAGGTGGTGCCACCGTGTTCCTGCTGGTTCTTGGACCCAATTCCAGGGCCTTTCCCACAGTGGGTGAGGCCATGGGTGTCCCAAAGGTGGGTTCTCCCATGGCAGGGGTGTTTGTGGGATTTCTGTGCCACCCTGTGGGTCTCATCCCTCCAGAACTGCCTTTGCCATTCAGAGAATCATGGGATGGTTTGGGTTGGAAGGGACCTTGGAGCTCGTCCAGTTCATGGGCAGGGACACCTCCCACTGTCCCAGGTTGCTCCAGCCTGGCCTTGGACACTTCCAGGGATCCAGGGGCAGCCACAGCTTCTCTGGGCAACCTCTGCCAGGGCCTCCCCACCCTCCCAGGGAAGGGTTTTTCTCCACTCCAACTGGAAGTTTTCCCCTTGGATGCACAGAGGCTCCAGTGCCAGGAGGGAGCACAAACTAGCCCTAAAATCCACTCTGCCAACCAACCCAGCCCCACCCCACACAGCCCAGCCTCCCCCGTGTCCCCAGGGAGGTCGGGGCTGGATTTTGGGGTGGCAGGAGCCGTGTGTGACCCCGGGACTCGCTGTGTTTGGGCTCAGAGTTTATCCCACTGTGAGCTGATCACGGACGACGGGATCCGGCACCTCGGGAACGGCGCCTGCGCCCACGACCGGCTGGAGGTGATCGAGCTGGACAACTGTCCCCTCATCACCGACGCCTCCCTGGAGCACCTCAAGAGCTGCCACAGCCTGGAGAGGATAGAGCTGTACGACTGCCAGCAGATCACCCGGGCAGGGATCAAGAGACTCAGGGTGAGCGGGGAGGGAGGCCGGGATTGGGAGGGGGGTTATCCATGGGAGGAGCCCTCATCAGCTCATCGCCATCCTTGGTGGATCTGGAGTCATGGAATCATGGAGTGGTTTGGGTGGGAAGGACCTTAAACCTCGTCCAGTTCCACCCCCCAGGGACACCTC